AGGAGAGGCCAGGGAGGCCGGCCCCGCCGGAGAGGCCAGGGGGGGCCGGCCGTTCCGGCACGCGGCTGTGCAGGGGCATAAGCCCCCGGCCGCGGGGGGCCCCCAGAGGGGGGCCAGCAATTCAAGTAGTCTTGAGACTCCAGCTAACTTAATGTATATAAATTAGGGACCTCAAACTTCCATTTAAAAAAATTATTTATTACTGTTATTTATTATTTTTAATTCACCAGAGATGGATAGAGAGAAGGAAAGTGAGCAAGCAAGCCATCAGGTCTGGGACTCAAACTGCATTTGGCTACATGGGAGACCAGCACCTTAACTACCACACCATCGACCAGCCTTGAACTTGGGTATTTTTTAGAATTTGTTAGTCTTACTAGAGATCACTTAGAATGAAAGTGGCCACAATGGAGAAGTTTTAATTTGGATAAAATTTACTAATAGGACATGTTAGAAAAGAAAGGATCAAAAACAATGACAGGGTTTTTTAAAATTGGTATCAGATGCACTTAAGATTAGATCAGTCAAAAATTGTCTCTCAGGGCAAGCAGGTGGCCTAGTGGTTAAGGCTCTGGACTCCCACATGGCTGACTGCAGTTTGAGTCCCAAATCTGGCTTAAAACTTGCCAGCTTCGTGTGCGTGTGTACCCAAAATCCTGAGAAGAGAATGAAGGGATTGTAGCATGGCCATCACTCCTTGGGGGTGATTTCTTGCTTTTTGTCTCTTGGTCTCTCTCATGAGTGCACTGGCGTACCCAAAAGATTCTTTACAGAAGTCACATGAAAAACTTAAGGAACAGGGACCAGCAGTTAGCGTAATGGCTATGTCGCTGGACTCCCACGTAGTCGACTGCGGTTCGAGTCCCGGACCCTGTGGCTTAAACTCACGCTGGGCGCAAGTGCGTGCGTATCCAAGATCCTGAGAGGAGAATGGAGGAGAAGGGATTGCAGCATGGCCATCCCCCCTGGGGGATGATTTCTTGCTTTCTATCTCTCTCTCTCTCTCTCTCTGTCTGCTGGCAAGCACACATGCCCTATAGCAAAAAAAAAAAAAAAAAAGCTCTCAAAAAAAAAAAAAGAACAAACTGAGAACATGACAAGAAAGAACTATATCTTGACCATATAACTTTTCCTTTCCCTATTCGTCTTTGCCTCAATGACCTGAGTCCATTGAATTTCTGCTCAATTACCGTTTCACCATGAGGATAATATGGAAGAGAGAAGTTAGACAAATGCCTTACAAAGTGAGACTGAACAGCTAGGCTGACCTGCCATGAGCTTAGGGCCCCTGTGAAAGACTTTCTTATTTCAAGAGAAAATCCTCACAAATTCACCAAGGAATTTATAGAGTTCACATGGAAGTGCACAATCCAGGATCTTTCCGAGTTTATTCATATGATACTGGACCTGAGGAAGCTTCCGATGGCTGGCAGGACAGGAAGGAATGGAGGATGTCAAAAATCCCTCTGAAACCTCCACAAAAAGAGCCATAGGGAGCTAGAATGGCTGAAAACCTTGTAAGTTCACTTCCTAAGGTTTTCCACCATAAAGTTTTAATTGATCCATTGTACAATTTTTGCAGACTGAAAAGAGGGTGAGCCAGTTTCAGATTATAGGGCTCATTCGGAAACACTTGGTGAAACATTCTGGTTTCAGAATGAGAATACAGTGAGAAGACTTTTCCTGTAGGGACTGAAACGTTTTTAACTATAAATTAACTATAAATGGGCCTTGTTCCAAATTTAGCAGTCTATTAAGAAACATAAACTGGTCGGGAACCAGCAGTTAGCGTAATGGCTATGTCGCTGGACTCCCATGTAGCGGTTTGTGTCCCCGACTCGGTGGCTTAAAAACTCACGCTGGGCGCGTGTGCGTGTGTGCCCAAGATCCTGAGAGGAGAATGGAGGAGAAGGGATTGCGGCGTGACCATCTCCCCTGGGGGGGTGATTTCTCGCTTTCTGTCTCTGTCTCTCTGTCTGTCTGGCGAGCGCATGCGCCCTATAGCGAAAACCTCTCCAAAACAAACAAACAAAAGAAACATAAACTGGTGTAGGAAATTATAGATGTCTGAGTTGGTGACTTTAGCTGAACTTTTGGAGAGGATTTTGGAATCAAAACCCCCAAAAGTTGATAAGCTGAGGTCTTTCCAATAATAGCAGTTGCAGGAACCCACACCAAAGGTACTTTTTTGTCCTTATTTTAACCTACAACTGAAAGAACATTGAGAAATTCTTCATTTCATGATATTTGCTTTTATTGCAGGCAGGACACTGAAAGAGAGATTGTTCATTTGTATGCCAATCTACTAATAAACCTACTCCTTTTAGATTGAATTATTCTCCACTCCACACTGGGCTGATGCTGTGGCATTATTATTATTATTTTTTTTAGAGAGTTATTTATCTTAATTCCACTTACTGTGATTTAATCTGACGAGAGAGAAAAAGGGAGAGGGAGAAAGCAAGTCACCAGGTCCGGGACTTGAACCACAGTTGGCCATATGGGAATCCAGCGTCCTTAGCCACCACACCACCTGCTGGCCTGATCCTGTGGCAATTCTAAACCATCAATTAGGAGAGCAAGAAAAGCTACTGGCCACAGAGCAGGAAGACACAGCTATCTTCAAGAGTGGACTTAGGGAACTCAGTGAGGTTGCAGCAGAAAAGGCCATGGCAGCAGCTAGGGAGGGCAAGGTGAAAAAGCATCCCATGGCCTGGGAGAAGGGGATTGCTGGCTATGCAGTTGCACATGCAGGCCAGAGACCAGGAGCATATGAAGGAGGGACAACCATGGCAGCGCAAGATTCAGACTCTTCAGAAGCAGCTTTAGCCTGGTCCCCACACTCAACTGGCCCATCTACAACAGCAGAACTCCATCCTATGGACACCTTGAACTAGGCCATAACCAGGTAGAAAGGAAACA